TGAAAATTATTTTAAAGATGCATTCCTTCCATAACCGATGCCTTTATCGTTTCAGATGGGTTTTTAAATTGCAAAGAGAGCTCTTCGATTGACTTAATCACGAAATCCAGTCTCCTTACGACACTTTTGTTAAACGAGTAAGGACTTGTGTACCACGCATCGACTGTTTTGTTAATTAGAGCCAGTCTTCCTGAAAAAATGCATGGATAAAAAAAAATTGGTTCACGGTGTAATTTCGAAATGTCAAAAAAGAAACTTTTTCAAACAAATTTCGATTCTTACGGAATCAAAATGAATTTCATAAATAAATTACCGCTGTTTTAAGTATCATTTCCAAGTTACACTGCCCTGCGTGATTGTAATTTTCACATAATTTAAAAAAAGGGGTATTAAGGTTATCTGTGTAAAGAAAAGATATCTGAGATTTTCCAAGAACTGAGATTTTGACACGCGAGTATATTTAAATGAAATTAAATCGAACCGTCAAATAAATCTTTTACACTTTTGAAAGTCTACTTTCAGGAAATAACATTGAATTTCTCGGGAGGTTCCCCACGTGTGTTGATAGAAGGTTTGTGTGGAATACATTCGAAGAAATGAAGCCAAAGATCACCAAGTCATTCGCAAGCAAAGGTTAGATGCGATCGGATTGCGTTACATCACATCCTTGAACATACGTTGGAAGCTTACTTTCCACTTGCCTATTGGCAAAAATTTTTGGGCTTCAAATTGGCGTTTTACATCGTTTTTATATGACCTCTTCTCTGTGGAACCTGTCTTACGCAGCTTCCCCCCCCCCCCCCCCCCCCCCCCCCCCCCCCCCCCCCCCCCCCCCCCCCCCCCCAGCCATTATTCGTAGGTAACCACCTAATACAGGTTTAACTGTGTAGGAAAATGATATCACAAGGGAGGATTGGTGACTCAACGTGAACGGCCACAAGTAGGAGAAATGTTCATCATTGAGTCAGACTTGTTTTTCGTTTTGCATCTCCTTGTTTGAGAGAGAGACCCAAGTTTCCTTCATAGACCAATCACAAACGCATTAAAGCAAAAGCAATACAACCCAAGTCGAAAATCAATGTAAATATGCACACCTTTCATTTCCAAAGCAGTCGTCCTTTCAGACATGTTCATAACATTCACGTTTACTAAATTCAGGTTTCTTTCCATATTTGTGCCCAGG